TTGTAAAAAGTCAACCGACACTAGTTTTGTCACCCCACGATAAGAGAATAGTGTATTAACTACACTACGCCCTTTGGTATCTGTCGTTTCATCAATGATGATTGCTACTTGTTTTTCACTAAATATATGTCTTAAGCTTTCTAAATGTTCTTTGAAAACCTTTGGTAAATATGAACGACATAAAGCATTAGCCGTGAGTATAGCACCACCTTCATTACAATGTGCACTTAGAAACTCCTGAAATTTGTCGAGTTTTTCCAGTGGTATGTCTACTTCAACCCATGCTTTAACAAGGTCACAAATGAAGTTTTTTTTTTTGTCAGCTACTGTCAACGATGATGGAAGACATTGCTGTCGAGTAGGATTCAAAGATTTCAGGTAGGTGTTATGCTTTTTTTGGTGGGTTTTACTATTTATGTGTGAGGTAATAAAGGATTTATTGTTATAATTAACACTATGATTGCAAAAACAGCACATAAGTTTCTCGGAATCAGAAGTGAAGTGCTTCGAAAACTCCTGTGCATGACTATAGGCAGTTACTTTCTTGGTGGGGCTCATTTCTATTTTTTTTTTTTTTTTTTGATTTGTTTGTTTAAAAAAACATTATAATGTACTGGTTTTTTTTTCTTATGCACCTTTGTCAAAGATGTTGGCGCAAATACAGCAAGTAAACTCAATAATTTTTGTCGCGACTGATATTGAAATTTGTTTTATTATAATATGAAATTTTAGGTGCATTTTTTAGGTTAGATTAGAATTCATATTAGAGTTATTAATAAAAGTATATGTAGGTTTAGTAAACCTAAGAGACGTTCAAAGAAAAGCTATTGAAAGGTCAACTATTTTTTTTTATTAGTCGGATCACATGTATAAAGATCTATTTTTATTGGTTAGATTATGTATAACCCCGAAAAATTAGCAAAAATTTAGAAAAATTTGCGTTAAATACAAAAATTTAGAAATTTTGAGATTAAAGTCAAAAATTTGGAAAAATTTAGAAAAATTTATTTCCAAAATTTTACGGGTCCCTGCCTCAGTGAGAAGAATTTTGCTACATAAAGGTTCTTCTCCATGTTTACTATCGAAGCCTTGAACAGCTTATGCTGCAACTCCAGTTGATGCAAGTACGAATACAGGTGATTTGTTCTCAGCACCGTAATCTTTAGCCAATTCATTAAGTCGAGCTACAACTGCTTTTATTAAATAAGATTTTCTAGTTCCTGCAGTTCCCATAATGATTATTCTAAGAGGCTCGACTGTATCATGATCTACAGCTGCAGCAATATAATATGCCTCGATCTGTTTGAATATTTCCATTTGCCTTTCATTTAAAGTTTGAAAATCTATTTTTTCAATATTTAGATTTTCAGAATCTATAGTTTCTTCGGCCCGAACTTGCTGAAGAAAAGTTAATACATCTTCGGTGTTGATGTTGGGATGATGTCACCTGATATCACCAAACTAAACGTGATTCTTGTCTATTGCATGTAAACCCAAGTCCGAATAGTTATCGATAATCGTATTTGGGCCTATTTCCGCTAAAAGCATCTATTCAGATCAGATTTCATTCTTATATTTACTGTTTTCTTGTTGTTCATCTTCCTCATCACTAAACTCATTTTCTATACTATCTACAGGAGAACTAAGCAAATCGGTGGGGGCATTATTAATCTCTGAAATATATTGCTCAAAGAGATCAGACCAAGCAACTGTATTATTCATCATAAGCTGTTCAAGGCTTCGATAGTAAACATGGAGAAGAACCTTTATGTAGCAAA